ACCTTGATAGGAACTCTATGTGGTACTAAGTCACTCATGTATCTTACCATGCAATGTATAAAGTGTAAAATATTGTACTAATTCATTATATATTAATGATTATGGTGTGTTTAAACTTCTTTCATTAATTACTACATATTTTCTACACTCACAATGTTTGCCAGCTCACTATATAATTAACTTAAATCAGTTAAATCTCTCATGTAATGCATTTCCTTCCAATTTTTTGTGATAAACTAATAGATAATTGACTAAATAAACATCCTGCAAAGTTTCAATAAAAATTTCCAAGTTTTTCTTACAATTTTCGTGGTTTTTATTCAATTTTTATCGATATCGATAATATCCTGATATTTCCATCGAAATTTCCGTATTTTTGGACTACCGATATTTTCGATATCATCGATATTTTAGACCTTAATTGTGACCTCTTGTTGTGACTTTGGCTTTCTCGGACTCAACATTAATTGATTTCTTTACATGCAAATCACAGTTTAACACATATAAATTTAGCAATTCATGTTATAAAAGAAATTTCTTTGGACATATATGATAGTGTGCTTTACAGATGCCTAGAGATGTTTGGTTGTTGGAAGGACCATTGCTATAATTTGGTTAAAATTGGGGGACCATTGCTCCAATTGGATTAAAGTTAAAGGACCATTTCTTCAGTTGGATTAAAGTTGAGGGACAATTAATACAATTTTTCTTATTTGATTTTCTATATTTGCCCCTTGATTCAACCTCACGTGCAAGTCACGTGATTCATTTTGATGGAAGTACTAACGGAGTTGACGAAAATGACCATAACTGCACATTTTGATGAGTTGAGGGACCATTAGTAATGGAGTTTTAGTTGAGGGATCATTACTGTAATTGGGTTAAAGTTGAAAAATCATGACTACTCGACTTACAAATCTACGTATCACTATGTAACTTTTTATTACTACTTTTTGAATTCAACATTGCAAACCTTATTATTTATAAATTACAGTTTGACATATACATGTATAAGCCTAATTCAATAAAATCACAAATAAAAAAAAAATTATACACTCATCAAATTGTGATTAGTATTCAAGTAATATTGACTACGCTGAACTTTGAGACTTTGTATTCCAAAGAACCCAATTCCTATTGGGAGCATTTTTGCTCACCACCATAAACTATGATGTATGTTCACCATATACCTAATCAATTGACACGTGTCATTTCACTTAATTTTAGTTAATTTTTTTCAAAATTGAAAAACTAACATTTAATGCGAAAGTTAACTAGAGTTAAGTGAAATGACACGTGTCAATTGATTAGGTGTATGGTGAGCATACACCTAATCAATTGACACGTGTCATTTCACTTAATTTTAGTTAATTTTTTTCAAAATTGAAAAACTAACATTTAATGTGAAAGTTAACTAGAGTTAAGTGAAATGACACGTGTCAATTGATTAGGTGTATGGTGAGCATACACCATAGTTTATGGTGGTGAGCAAAAATGCTCCCAATTCGGAAGGGCGGCAAGAACCTTACAAATTTTTCATATGGTGAGCTGGCAAACATTGTGAGTGAGCAAAAATGCTGATTTAATTACTGATTAGGTGTATGGTGAGCATACACCATAGTTTATGTTGGTGAGCAAAAATGCTCCCAATTCGGAAGGGCGGCAAGAACCTTACAAATTTCCTAAAGATTTCATTAACTTCGTAACTTCCCTAAAAAAATACTTTTGGAAGTGTTCCCAAATTCAATTGCTCGCTGCAATAATGATTACTTTTAGACTTCGTAATTTTTCAAATAGATATGTTGAGGAAATTCTCTTAAAAGTGAGAATTTTTATGAACTCGTTTTTTGCACAGGATTTTATAACGTTGGCACAGAAATTAATATTAAACTGTAAGGTGTCAGTTAGCCTATAGAGAGTCACATTTTGAAAGTCTCCTTAGCATTTATCTTTCCCAATAAAAAGTTCTTTTACCTTCTTCCTTGAAAATTTGCTTTTACCTTCTTCCTTGAAAATTTGAAGTTCCCTTGAAAGTAACCAGTAGTACTTACATACTAATCACAGTTTGACGTGTATATAAAAAAAAAAATTATTTGTGGTTTTAATGAATGGAGTTCAAAAATGATATATGTAACTTCCCAAAAGTATCTTCAGAAACGAAATATAAACCCACTTTCTTTGGGATCATATCAATATGTAACCTCCTATTACTTTTTTTTGTCGTTTCTGAAGATCTCAGAGTTATTATTATCATTTTTTTTCTATTTCTGGTTTCATTATTGCAGCGAGCAATTCAGTTTGGGAACTCCCTAAAGTATTATAGGTGGTCCTCATCATGCATGGTGTTGTCTATTGTTATTTTGTTTTTTCCTTAATTTTGTGCTTATATATAAAAGTAAATGTTTAGGAAGGGCGGCAAGAACCTTACAAATTTGATTACATATAAAAAAATATCAATAATTCCAAGTAGGTGGTCCTTTCTTTTCTTAAACAGTGGTTAAGATTATGAATCTATGATATGTTCAGAGTCGGATTTCTTTTTGTATAAAGTCTCACTTATTAAGTTAATTGTTAACCTCACCTAATTTGATCTAATTAGCATCACTCTAATATTATATACATCACATTAATTGACCAAGTCACATTTTTTTAAAGAACAAGCCTTACTTGCACGGTTGGGTTCCGCATAGGTGATATGTCCAAACTCAATTAGAAAAATAGAAATAAGTTTAATATGATAAAAGAGATATGTTAGTGTCAAGCGTCAATACAAAAGTGACTCAGAGTTATACAATATTAATGGTTCATAATAATAATATTAATATGTAAGAAGTAGCTGTGGTTCGTTAATCAAATCATAAACTTGTTTAGTTCTAAATCTTTATGCTTTGTCACTTAATACTATGTTTTAGTAGTATTCCTATATGCTCTTTTAAAACACTAGGGGTATGACTAATTCATAGTTGATAACTTAATTAGGGGTGGGTTCGGTTCAAATCGGTTCGGTTTTGCCAAAATCGAAACCAAACCGAAATTTCGGTTTGGTTCATTTTTTTTCGGTTCGGTTTCGGTTTTTTTTTTTGTTTTTTTTTTAAATGAAAAACATTGAAATTTTGAATTTTAACATCTTAAACACAATCATAACATAAGCATTCTAACTAGAATCAAAGACAATGAAAATAAACATTTAAAGTTGAACTAAAATCATCAATCAAGTCTTCCAAAGTCCAAACTAACAACCTCACAACACAAAAATCGTACAAATGACTTAGAAAAGTTAAATTGTATGATGTTGTTCAAAGATCAGGGCTGTTTGCTTGTAACTGCATGTTGACAACTTGATTAGTAAAAGTAATGCGTGGGTGAATTTATTTAGTGTGTGTTGAATTCTTTTCCATCACAAATTACGCAAGTAATCTACCTGAAATAAATGTTTATGGATTATGTTACATGTTATATGAGAGTAGATTTGGAAAAGAAAGCTGGGTCAGAAGTAAACAATGCTATGAAGATGGATGTAGGTACTTCAGGAGGAGGTTTGATTCCGGAACCTTATATTTTATAGGCCTTTTTTTAATATTTTGAGCTTAAAGTTTGGCAACACATTGGGTTTAGCACATTTTAACTTACAAATTGGGTTTAGAAAATAATACCCAAAACAAATAATTAAATAAAAAAATTAATTTAATTAATTCGGTTCAGTTTTTTCGTTTGGTACAGTTCGGTTTTTTGGTTTTTTTCGGTTTTTGGTTTTTTGAACCCATCCCTAAACTTAATGAGCCATTTGAAGCAAATTTTAGGACCAACTTGGTTGACAGAGAAATGATGAAAATGACAAGTCAATATATAGGAATTTCTTAAGTGAGAAACTGGGACATTTTATTGTGTTGCAGAAAAACTAGGACATTGAAAAGTGGGGAAGAACAAATCTCTTCTGCCACAACTTTAATAAAACTTCCACCAAAGAAATTTTCCCCATAAGATGATTAAATATTGACTCCCAAAATTATATTGAATTTGTTAATTAAATCAGCAATTGGGATATCGATGGCGAGTGTCAACTGTTAATCATGTAATATTGCAGAAAAGGAAACTTAGAGGGAGAAATTAGGCAGAGAGAAGCTGAACCCAGGGCCGGCCCAGGCCCAGTGCAACCAGGGCCATTGTCCAGGGCCCAAAATTTAAAGGGGCACCAAAAAAAAAATCCAAATAATTAGGTATAAAAAAAAAATTTGTCCAGAGCCCAAAAATAAAGAATGGAGGGCAAGAGGCCCAAATTTGACAATAAAGGAAAAGGCCCAAGTTTCAAGATTAAAAAAAAAATATATATATATATATATATATAATTGAACCGACAGGTTTTAGCCTAAAAAAAAAAAAATTATATATAATAATAATAATGTAAAGGGACCTCCCCGGTCCCCCCCTCCCACCTAACCAAAATATATATAATAATAATAATGTAAAGGGACCTCCCCAGTCCCCCCCTCCCACCTAACCCTAATTCCTTTTTCCCAATTCCCCCCCCCTTGTTTCCCCAGCCGTTTGTTATTTTTCCTCACTGCCATCAGTCAGCACTGCTTATTCCAGCCTTCCAACCCCGACACACAGTCAGATACATGCCCAGTGCCCACCACAGGTCTTTGTCTTTCTCAGCCACAATCCTTGCTGCCGGTTGCCATTGTGCATTCACCAACCCGAGTAACTTTTGAGGTAATTTGATAAACTAATTTTTAAAATTTGAATTATTAATTCATAATTTAAATTAAATTTTGCAAGTGACATAGAATTATATGATAATTGATGTATAGAATTGTTGTTGTTGATGAATTGAATTCTTGATTAATTGATGTATAGATGTTAGTGTTTTTTAATATATATAATATGTGTTAGACTTGGAATGATAATTTTAATAGGAAATTTTTGTTATATCATGTGTAGGTAATTTTTGCAAACAAATTATCAAAGCCATGTCTTTTAGGAAACAACTCTCTGGTAATATGAAAAGGAAAAAAAAGGCAAAGGATAACGAAATTGCCGAAAGTTTAAGAGGATCTCTTAATAAAATTTTTTCTACAAAGAATGAGTTGGTTGAAAATTTGAGAGAAAATGATGTTGGTGAAGAGTCACAAAATGTTGTTGGGGAGTCTCATGATCATGAAATTGGTGGTTATGTGGAGGAAGATGTTAATGACCAAGAAAATAGTGGTGATTTAGAGGAAAATGTTGATGATGAGTCTCAAGATCATGAAAATGGTGGTGATGTGGATTTAAATGTTGATGATGATCATATTGGTGTAGAGGAAAATATTGAATCTCCTGAACCTATTTTCCATTTAAACATTTATGATCCAAAAGTTTGGGATAGCCTTAATGCAGAAATGAAAGACTTACTTATAGAAAATGGACCAATTCGAGAAACTAATTTCACGTATTCTAAGGACAAACTCTCTAGAAAATTTTCATCACACTATTATGGTCGAAAATTACGAACGGGTGAAATTTATGATAAGAAATGGCTTGTGTACTCAAAAGAGTTGGATAAAGTCTTTTGCTTTTGTTGTAAATTGTTTAAAACAATTGCCTCAAAAAGTGAGTTAGCAAAAGATGGAATTAGTGATTGGAGACATCTTGGTGAGAAGATTGACCAACATGAAAAGAGTAAAGAGCATCTCGTTAATTCGAGAACTTGGGTTGAGTTGAAAAGTAGATTGACAAAAAATCAGACAATTGACAAAGAATTTCAAATGCGAATCAAGAAACAGACAAATCATTGGAAACAAGTGATGCTTAGAATTATTGCTGTTGTGAAATGTCTTGCCATACATAATTTAGCATTTCGTGGAACAAATGAAAGACCTTATGAAGACTCTAATGGCAACTTCTTAGGTTTACTTGAAATGATTGCAGAGTTTGATCCAATAATGCAAGAGCATTTTTCGACTCATTGAGAATAAAGAGATTCATCATCACTATTTGAGCCATAAAATTCAAAATAATTGATAGCTACTTTAGCTTCAAAAGTCAAAACCGCAATCATTAAAAAAGTCAAAGAAGCCAAATTTTTTTCTGTCATTCTTGATTGTACTCCTGATGCAAGTCATGTGGAACAGATGACTTTAATTTTGAGATGTGTTGACTTGTCAAGTAGGTCAATAAATATAAGGGAGTATTTCATGGAGTTTTTAAGTGTAGAAGATACATCAGGATTAGGACTTTTTAATGAGTTGCAAGATGTCGTAAAGTCTCTTGATCTTGATATTGATAATGTGAGAGGACAAGGTTATGATAATGGATCTAACATGAGAGGGAAACACCAAGGTGTCCAGAAAAGATTGCTGATCGGATCATATTTATATATATTTTTATTTCGAATTCACTCGTCTTTTCTTAGTTAGTTCTTTATATTTTGAGTTATTTACGTTATTTTTGTATTTATAGAAATTGTTATGCTAAGAAAATAAAATAGCACAAATGAGTTTTAAATAATAAACAGAAAAGAAAAATAAAAAATAGAAAGTAGATAGCTTCTGTTGTTGTGATTTTTGGGCTGGCTATGTAAAAGTTGCGTACTGTTAACGTTAAACACTCCAAGAATCAATTTTTCTTACATGCTTGACAGGTCTTTGGTCCACGGAGCCATCATTTCTGCTTTTCTGACTATTGCTCAAGCCATGACTGATCAAGGATGTATATAGAGCAGAAGAATATTGTACAATTGGAGAGAGAGAAAGACGGATCCAAGAGAGAAAGGCAGCAAGGCTGCCAGAAAGAGGAATAAAAAAATTAAAAGGAAGCTGCCTTTGCAGCTGGAAAGAAAAAAAGGAGAAACAAGAAAGAAATTGGGGAGACACGGGGGGGACGGACAGAGTAGCGCAAGGAATAGAAAAATAAAAGAGCTGCCTTTGGCAGCTTTGAACAGCACACAGAAAGTAGAAAAATAATAGGAGTACGGGAAGGATTGGAGTGAGAAAGAGGAGGAGAAAAGGAGCTGCCCTTCGGGGCAGCTGAAGGGAGCTGCTAGAGAGAGGTGAGAGAGCAGTCAAGAGGTCAATGGGGAGCTGCCCTTTGGGCAGCTCGAGAAGAGCACAGGGGGTGACGCGGGATTGGTGCAAAACAAGACGGGCAGAGACCAGTGACAGAAGATGAGGAAAGACATACGGGGGAGAGAGGTTGGTCAGCACAGCAGAGAGAAGAAGCCAAGTCCACGGAATGGAGAGGAGAGCACAGCAAGAGTTGGTCAGAGCACAGAAAGCAGAAGCCTTTTCTTTCGGTTTAATCTTTCCAAACTCCTATTTTATTTTTGTTTTAATAATGTGTAATTAATTTTATTTTGGCTAGAGGTTAAGTCGAAACCATGAATATATTTGTAATATGAATTGATTACCTTCGGTTGTGATTTCATAAGTTGTGATTTCAATTTACTTATCCGTTCGTATAAAAACTGATTTGTGTATGTTGGTTGAGAGTGCACGCTTAATTTACATGCATGAATTTGATGCTAGAATATAAGTGAATTTCACCTAATCGTTATGAACTTATTTTCACAAGTAGTAAAGGTTGCTAGTCACAATCACGTTAAGTAAATTCTTGGCAAGAGTATCATGCTTTTCATAGTTACGAATGCCTCGTCAATGCTTATAGTTTTCACAAAGTTTAATGATCTTTGATTGTATCTCTATTGTGCTTTTCACGTAGGGGACTTTTGAAGAATGTTTTGAATTGTTGTATGCGTTTTCCCGTCCAATTCAATAACTTAAGGAAAACTTGAAGATTAAAAAAGTGCTGTTCACGGTTAATCTGGAGTATTGAGATTCACAATTTATTGAAAGAACAACTGAAAATCAATTTAGGTTGCATATGTGTCATGTGTGGAGAAGAACCCTCTAGCTAGTCCGTCATTTATCATTTTACCTTAATTTCATGTTTTTGTCAATTCTGTAATTTAATTAAGTTTAATTTACTTTTCATCAAAACCAAACACCCATCCATTGTTAAATTATATTATTTAGTTAGTTTTCTTTATTGTTAGTCTTTTAATTTAATTTCCGTCCATTTCAGTTCCTAGTGTTTAATTTGATTGTTTTCATTATTTTGAGTCATCCTAAGTGTATTTTGAGTTATTAGAGTTTTTAGCCTAGTTTTGTGTCCTTGAGTCTTATTTAATATTTTTTAAATTAATTTAGAATAGATTAGCAATCCCTCCTAATCCCCGGCCTAGAACGATACCCTACTTACATCCATACTACAATTGTCAAAAAGAGGGTTTAATTTGTGTGTCAAGTAATTCTCACATCAAATTTTGGCGCCGTTGCCGGGGATTAGTAACTTTGCTAATCCTTTTATTTTTGTTTTTGTTTATGTTTATATTGGTGTTTGTGTATTTTACTTTTGATATTTGATTTATTTTTTCTTTCTTTGATTTTAGGCACAAATGGAGCTGAGGGAAATTTAAAGGAAAGATGCGTCCGGCTAAAGACGTTAAATCAAGCGCTTCTTGGGAGGCAACCCAAGCATTCAACGAAGGGAGACTTTGGAATCGCTAACCCAATCAGATTTGCATTTTTACACCCTTATCTTTACTGCTTTCATTTTGTTTTGTTTAGTTAGTTGTGTTATTTGGTTGATTTCTGTGAGTTTGTATTACTTAGTTTAAGTGTGGGGGAAGGTTAACCAAAGTCTCTTTACATTAATTTACATAAAAAAAAAAAACAATTAAAAAAAAAAAGATAAAATTTAAAATTAATGAAAAAAAAAAAAAAAAAAAAAAAAAACAATTAAAAAATACAAAAAAAAAAAAAAAAAAAAAAATTAAAATTAAAATTTTACAATGATGTAAACTAATAGTATTCATTGGTCGGGTGGTGCTTCAGTAGTAGGCGGGGCTTCAGCAGTCGGCGGGGCCACAGAAGGAGGAGGCGGCAGAGGTTGATCAGTTGGAGCTTCACTACGCGGTGCCGCCCCAGAAGACGAAGGCAGATGCGGTTGGAACAAACCCACAAACCTCCGATGATCAAGTAAAATTTGACCATCGGTGTCCTGCATCTGGTCAATCTTCCTCTTCATGCTGGTGGCATAGCTGTGTGCGAGCTTGTGCAATTCCTTATTCTCATGCTTGAGCCCTTTAATCTCTTGCTTGAGACTCTGTATTTTCAGCCACCAAGGATTCAACGTGACGGGTTCGGGCATATAGGCGTTGGGCCATGTTGGATACGGAACCCGCACACTGCACACTGAGAGAGCCAGAGACTCCTTGACCGCCAATTCATCAGACCGCCTTGCGAGCAGTCTGTTATCTCTGGGAGTGACAAGGTTTCGGGCCACCACCGCAGCGGTCATGTCATTTTTCATCATCGAATCCCCACGGTAAGGGGACCGGTAGGGGATATGAAGGATGGCCGCCATATGTTTGTCTGGTGAAGGCGGAGCTGCCTCTTCACCAATGTTCAAGTCAAAACGACGATCAGAAGGGCCAGACATTTTTCAGAGGTGGTAAAGAAAGAAGAGAGTCGGAATGATCAAGATTAAACAAGTGCAAGAAGGGAGTGTTTACAGGAGGGTACTCAAGTGTGTTGTGGAACAAGCTTAACGTCTCTATAAAAAGGAAGAAATCAAAGAGGCGCTCCTCAGAGAAGCGTCCTCTCGCAAATCGAAGAGTCGGGGCTCCGTTCTCAAACGTCTGATTCTTTTCTCAAAATAGGAGTTTCCTTTCTCAAAAAGCCGGATTCTTTTCTCAAAAGAGGCGTTTCATTTCTTAAAGGCTGGGCTTGCTCAGAAACCACGAGCCGAACCCCGGATTTCAAAAGATCAATTTGTCCAGACGTGTCGTCACTTGTCACACGCAAATTGCTTTGCGGAAATCTCGGGCAATTTGTCGAAGCACCAATTCAGAAATCGAAGAGGGAAATTCAACAGTCAAAGACACGCTAGCTTTCTCAAAAGCTGGGCTTCAACCCACGGGAAAATCTTCTTTTCCAGATTTATCCGCACGTGTCACATGCTACCTCTACAATCGACGATGCTCAGAGCTCGAAGCGCCGATTACAGATATCAATGAGGAATCAGCTTTGCGGAAATTACGGGCAGCTTTGTCAGAAAGCGCGTAATTTGTATTCTTCACCCATCCACCGGCTGCCGACACTAAGTGAGAGAACAGTTCCGGTTGTGAAGACAAGTCCTATAAGTTTCTACCTTCGCCTTCCACAGCAAAAGCACACTCTCTCAGCACACCCTCTCAACACCTCTTCATCTCCGAAAATGCATTCCCAAAGAATCCTCTCGAGTCACTCTGTGTTCCTCATTCCTTGGGATACTCCTGCGAACAACCCATTCAAAGCAAAAGTATTTCATATCATAAAGGTTGAAAGCAAGAGTATCTCATATCATGCATTCTCCATGTCCTTTTCCTTGTCTTTGTTCTAACCTGCAGGACATGGAGAAATTGCTCTCGAGTACTCGTCTTCCACTGCTGATGTACTTCCAAAGAAGCTGCCACATCTACCTGAAGAACAGATAAGGCAAGCGAAAATGATACCAGCAGCATGTGGAGACAACGTACAGAAGAAACAAGCAGAGAAGAATGCAGCTCGTACAATCAACCCAGCACAAGGAGTCCGAACTGAAGAACTAGAGAAGCTGCCACATCTGCTTGGAGAACAAATAAGGAACTGCAACATAACCAAAGAGCAAAGCTTCGCCGTACAATATCATCAAATCATCACTTGCAAGTAAAAAGCTAAGTGTCACCCTGTTCAAGAGGAACGCTGTGGAAAGTCAACAAGCACGACCAATGATTACTTATTAGTTTTATTCATTATCTTTTATCGTAATTTTCAATTTTTCGTTTGCAATTTTTTTTAATTAATTTTCTTGCGTTACTTAACTGAATTATTTCTTTTCTTTGCAGGAACTTTTGGTTCTTTCCACCCTTGAAGCTGATTGCAGAATTTTA